CCGTGAAATCATCTAGTTCTGAGCTTTTCTTTGTTGGAAGGTTTTTGATGACTGATTCAATCTCTTATTGTATGTCTGTTCAGATTTTCTATTTCTTCTTGAGTCAGTTTTGGTCATTTGTGTTTTTCTAGAATTTTGTCCATTTCATCGAGATTACCTAATTTGTTGTCATACGATTGTTCATAGTATTTTCTTATGATTTTTATTTCTATAAGGCTGGTAATAATGTCCCCACTTTCATTTATGATTTTTTTAAAGATTTTATTTATTTATTTAAGACATAAGAGAGCATGAGGGAGGTGGTGAGAGGGAGAAGCAAGCTCCCCGCTGAGCAGGGAGCCCAGTGTGGGAATCAAACCCAAAGTCCCGGGATCATGACTTGAGCCGAAGTCAGCAGCCCAACTGACTGAGCCACCCAAGTGACCCCATTTATGATTTTAATAATTGGGTTTTTTCCCCTTTTTTCTTGGTCAGTCTAGCTAAAGTTTTGTTACTCTTTTGAAAGAACCAACTTTCAACTTAATTGATTCTCTCCATTGTTTTTGTATGCTCTATTTTTTTAAATCTCCACTTGAATCTTTATTATTTCCTTCCTCCTACTAGCTTTTTTATTTCATTTGCTCTTTAATTCTTTTCTCTGTTAGTTTTCTGTTTGTTTGTTTTGGGGTGCCAAAACCCAGGATTGAATCTGTTGGCTTTTTAGTTATAAGCCACTATAAGCTCCTTAAGGGTACAAACTGAGTCATGTATTTATTAGATATTCTCCAGAGCACTTTATACAGTAGCTATTACACAGGTGCATACTAGGGGGCAGTAAATGCTTCTTGAATTGACATAGAAAAATGATAGGTGACCCTCAGGAATCTGCTCCTGATCCTACATCACCTTTTCTAGTTGGTATCCCTTCCAACCATACAGTTCAGTTTACAAATACAGTCATCATCTTTGAGCATTTCCCTTACCTCAAGATGAATATCTAGGCCAAGAGCTGTCCAATAGCACTTTTTGAGATAATGGAATTGTTTCTGCACTGTCTAATACATTAACTACTAGCAACATTTTGCTACTGAATACTTGAAATACAGGTAGTATATCTAAGGAACTAGATTTTTAGTTTTTAAATTTAAATTTAAATGGCCATATGTGGATAGTAGTAATCATATTGGACAGTACAGAACACTAATGTCACCAATCCTGATTTTGTCCCATGATTCAGTGTTTATTCAAAGTGTCATGCTTCTTAAAAATATAGCCTCTTGGAACTCACCCTGTGCATACTGGATCACTATCATCTCTTCCCTGAGGACCTCCTTATAGAGTTGCAGTATCTCACCTGAGCTCCATCGGAAGTAAAATTAGGGGCACCTGATTGGCTCAGTGAGTTGAACTTTTGACTCAATTTCAGCTCAGGTCACGATCTCAGGGTTATAAGATCAAGCCCCAAGTTAGGCTCTGTGCTCAGCAGGGAGTCTGCTTGAGATTATCTCCCTCCACATCCTCCACCTCTGCCCCCACCCCTGACTCCTGCATACTCTCTTTCTCTCAAATAAATCAATTTTTTTTTAAGATTTTATTTATTTATTTGAGAGAGTGAGCACAAGCAGGGGGAGCAGAGTGGCAGAGGGAGAGAGAGAAGCAGGTTCTCTGCTGAGCAGGGAGGCTGACATGGGCCTCAATCCCCCCTGGGGCCCTGGGATCATGACCTGAGCCAATGGCAGACACTCAACCGACTGAGCCACCCAGATGCCCCTAAATAAATCAGTTTTTTAAAAAAAGTAAAGGGGCGCCTGGGTGGCTCAGTCGTTAGGCGTCTGCCTTCCGCTCAGGTCATGATCCTAGGTTTCTGGTATCGAGCCTTGCATCCGGCTCCCTGCTCAGTGGGAACCCTGCGTCTCCCTCTCCCACTCCCCTTGCTTATGTTCCCTCTCTCGCTGTGTCTCTGTCAAATAAATAAAATCTTAAAAATAATAAAAAAAGTAAAATTAAAAAACAAAATCAAACCTAATTTTGTCATTGCTTATCCTTTCTGTTAAGTTTTTATATTCTATATCATTATTTCTGTTTTTATGTTTACTTTTTCCCAGCCTGTGACTTTCCTTGTAAAAATGTGTCTTAAAAGTGTCTTTCAGGGGTGCCTGGGTGGCTTAGTTGTTGAGTGTCTGCCTTTGGCTCAGGTCATGATCCCAGGGTCTTGGGATCGAGCCCCGCATGGGGCTCTCTGCTCAGTAGGAGCCTGCTTCTCCCTCTACTTGCCACTCCCAGTTTTTGTACTTTTTCTGTCAAATAAATAAATAAAATCTTAAAAAAAACCTTAAAAAAAAGTGTCTTTCAAAGAGCGCAATTTATCAACATCTATAGTTTATGTTTTTGTGTCTATTGTAAGAAATCTTTGCCTACCCTATAATCACAAAGATTTTCTTTTAGGCTTTATTCTAAAAAACAAAAAATTATAGTTTTAGCCTTGTGTTTAAGTCTATAGTCAATCTAGAGTTAATGGTCAAGGTTTATTTTTTTTGCATAGGAATATACAGTCATTCTAGCATCATTTATTGAAAAGTATCCTTTTCCCTGTTAATCACCTTGACCTCTTGACAAAAATCAGTTGACCATATGTGTGAGTCTCTTTCTGGACTTTCTGTTCATTTCCATTGAGCTGTATGACTATATATTTACACTGCCTTGATTATTATAACTTAATAGGAAGACTAAAAATGAGGTAGTATGGTTCTCTACTTTTGTTCTTTTCCTGATTGTTTAGGTGACTCTAGGTTCTTTTTTTTTTTTAAAGATTTTATTTATTTATTTGACAGAGACAGACACAGCGAGAGAGGGAACACAAGCAGGGGGAGTGGGAGAGGGAGAAGCAGGCTTCCCGCAGGGGGCCCAATGCGGGGCTTGATCCCAGGACCCTGGGATCATGACCTGAGCCGAAGGCAGACGCTTAACAACTGCGCCACCCAGGCGCCCCTAGGTGATTCTAGGTTCTTTGCATCTTCATGTAAATTTTAGATTCAGTTTCTTAAATTTCTAAATTGTCTTCTGGGATTTTTACTGGAATTGACTGAATCTATTGATTAATTTGGGGATAATTTTCATCCTAACAATAGGAAGTATCTGGTAAACCTCTCCACTTGTTTAGTTTTTCCTCAGCAACACTTTTTAGTTTTCACTATATAGATTTTCCATATTTTTAAAAATATTTATTTATACTTGTCAGAGAGAGAGAGAGGGAGAGGGAGAGTGGCAGGCAGAGGGAGAAGTGGGCTCCCCATTGAGCAAGGAGCCCGATGCAGAACTTCATCCCAGGATCCTGGGATCATGACCTGAGCCAAACGCAGATGCTTAACCGACTGAGCCACCCAATTGTCCCTAGATTTTCCATATATTTTGTTAAATTTATCATTACTATTTCAAACTATGTCCATTTGGTTGTTGTAAGTATAGAAATAGAAATAATTTTTATAAATTGATCTTCTATTCTATGACTTTGCTAAATTCACATGTTAGTCCTACCAGGGCTTTTTGTTGTTTTTTAGATGTTTTAAGATTTCCTATGACGTCATCATGTTTGCCCATAAAGACAGTTGCTTCTTCCTTTCTGAACTGTCGATCTTTGGGGTGCCTTGGCTGGCTCAGTTGGTGGAGTGTGTAACTCTTCATCTTGGGATTGGTATAGAGATGACTTAAAAATAAAAATCTTAAAAAAAACTATACACCTTTTATTTATTTTTCTTTACTATTGCTTTGCCTAGGACACCTAGTACAATGTTGAATAGAAATTATTAGAGCAGACATTCTTGCCATGTTCCTGAAATTCAGAGGAAAGCCATCACCTTTCACCATTTGTTATTGTGTTATCTATAGGACTTTTTAGATGTTTTCTGTCAGATTAAAGAAGTTACCTACTAGTCCTACTTTGAATTTGTCAAATGCTTTTTCTGAATCTAAGACAACCATATGGATTTTCTCCTTTATTATATTGATATGGTGAATTACATTGATTGTTTTAGTTTCAAATGTTTAACCAATTTTGTATTCTTGGGGTAAATCTTACTTGGTCATGATTTATCACTCTTTTTATATATTCATGGATTTGATTTGTTTGTTGTTAATGTTTTGTTATGAACATTTGTGTTCCCATATATAAAAAGAATAGCTGTGTTTTCTTTATGTTATTGGTTTCAGTATCAGGGTAATGTTGACTTATAAATGAGTTGAGAAATGTTTCCTCTTCTATATTCTTTTTTTTTTTTTTACAGCAGTTACAGACATTTATCTCATAATAAGAAAAGTACAACCATATTTATTAAACTCGAGATGAGGTGGGCAGGGAAGAGGGAGGAAAGCACATTCAGGAATGAGTTCTCAAACTAAAGCTCAGAACTGGTGCCTATGAGAATAGACGCAGTTGCCACCCTCCCAAATGGCAGAGACTTTCCTTTCTTAGGGGTGAGCAGGAGGGGAGGGTCATCCCAGCCCCACCTTCCATTTCCATTCTTGGTTCCCAGATGGCATTCTGGGAATCAGGAACTCTTATCACCTACGGGTTATTCATAGAGTTGGAAGTTATAGCATTACGTGAAGAAGAGGAATATTAGGAGTAGCTGCTCACATTGTGGGGCAGGAAGATGGGATTAGAGGGCTGCCAAAAACCCCATGGGAAGGAATCCCACTCTTGTCCCCAGATAATTTCCTCTTAAGTTAATCATTATTTCTTAACTTAAAAATAAGGGCAAAACTCTGATGGGAAGCTGTGTAAGACTAGTCCTTGAGAACTGGATAGCAGAGTCCAAGAGCAGTGCTTTATCTTTCATTTTCTCCTTGACCTCCAATCTCTCCCCTTTTCAAGCTACAAGTAAGAGCTCCACCACCATTAAGGTACTGATTTATCCTATTAATTTGACTCTCTCTTTATTCTTTTGGGTCCTATCAGTTCTTTTTTTAGTCCAACAATTCTTGTGCTTGATACTAAGGGTAAAGGGAAAGGAGGGAAGAAAACAAATTAAGAAAAAGAAGCTTGGAATGCAGGCTCGAGCTGACACTGAGCACTTCCTTCATAGTACAAGTAGTAACGTTATAACTATTAAAGTGGTGTTTTAGTAACTGTTGCATTTCTGGTTCCCATGTACTTATTCTGCCTTCTTTTTTGCGATTCCAGGGAGTTTTGCTTGTATCTTTTCAACAATCGACTTGGTCTGATTGCGGGCGATGCCCACATAGTGATCAATCTGGGTCTTGTACTTCTTATAGACAATGGGGACACTGAAAATGAGCAGTTCGGCAAGAATCAGAAGGGTGATTCCATTGAAAACAGCACCAACATCGGTCATAAGCCACATGAAGACAGCCAGCTTCGAGGAGTCAACCAAATCTTCCATCAGAAAGAGACGAATAATGAGTTTCAGGGCTCTGTTGATGTGCACCATGGCAGCATTCACGTAATTATGGAAAGCTTCTGAGGACAGAGTAATGTCTACAACCAGGTAGGCTTTGAACGGATGGCCGTCTTCTGATTTCTGTACAGTTTGGATGACAGACTTGTAGACCCTGAAGCTGCTGGTGACAGAGAGAAGAGCCAGGATGAGGTAAGAAACCACACTGATGACACTGAAAGCTGCCAGGGAGAGCAGCATGATCAGTGTGGTGCCAAAGACAAACCCAGTCTTCCTCACATCTCGCCAGAAAATCAGATCGTGCACCGCACAGGAGGAGCCGCAGCTCTTCGCCCCCAGGGCGGGGCAGGATTCAGGGCTCCCGCCGGGCGCCGAGAAAACGGCCAGGGACTGAGTGGCCGCCGACGGCTCCGCCATGGCTGCGCGAGCAAGGGCAGGAAAGGGGTGAAGAGAGATGTGGGGCGGGAGAGAGGGAGGGGAAAGAAAATTATCGAGCAGCAAGCTCTCAGAAGCCCCTTCGCTCCTCCTGCTCCGAGGACAGACTCCGACAGACTGACTCTTTCCTCTTCTATATTCTAAAAGAATTGGTGTAAAATTGGTATTGTTTTTCTTTAAATATTGGATAGACTTCACTAGTGATGTTATCTGGGCCTGGTGTATTATTTATGGGGAAGTATTTAATTACATGTTTAATTTATTTAATCAGTAATAGGGGTATTCAGGTTATCTTTTTTTTTTTGAGTGAGCTTTAGTAATTTCAGTTCAAGGAATTTGTCTACTTCATCTGTGTTTTGGAACTTATTGGTATAAAGTTGTTCATTATATTTCTTGTCTCTTTAATGTTTATAGCAGAGGTTGGCAAATAGCAGCCCATAGGCCAAATCTACTCTATGATCTCTTTGTGTATATATGTGAGCAAAGAAAGGTTTTGGCATTTTTGTTTTTATTTATTTATTTAAAGATTTTATTTATTTATTTGAGACAGAGAGAGAGTGAGAGGGAGCACAGGACGGAGGAGGGTCAGAGGGAGAAGCAGAGTCCCCTCTGAGCGGAAAGCCTGGTGCAAGCTCTATCCCAGGATCCGGGGATCATGACCTGAGCCTAAGGCAGATGCCTAACTGACTGAGCCACACAGGTGCCCCAGTTTTTGCATTTTTAAAGGATTGTTAAAAAGCAATAACCAAAAATGAAACCCAAAAAAGAAGGATATATGTGACCATATGTAGCCTGGAAAACCTGAAATATTTATAAACTGGTCTTTTATAATAAGAAAGAATTCTGCTGACTCCAAGTCTGTAAGATCTTGAGTGATGCTTATGCTCTCATTCCTGAAATTTGTAATTTGATTCTTTTTCCTGCCTACCCCTGTTGATTGGTCTGGCTAGTGCCTTATCTTTTTTTCTTTTTACAAGAATCAACTTTTGATTTATTTTATTTATTTATTTATTTAAGATTTTATTTATTCACTTGACAGAGACACAGTGAGAGAGGGAACACAAGCAGGGGGAGTGGGAGAGGGAGAAGCAGGCTTCCCGTGGAGCAGGGAGCCTGGTGCAAGCTCTATCCCAGGACCCTGGAATCATGACCCGAGCCGAAGGCAGACGCTTAACGACTGAGCCACCCGGGTGCCCCTCAACTTTTGATTTAATTGAATTTCTATATTGTTTCCTATTTTATTGTTTTATGCTTTAATATATATTATGTCCTTCCTTCTGCTTATGTGTAGTATCTTTGAAATTCATGCAAGTATTTGCATATATCACTAATTAATTCCCCTTTATTGCTGAGTAGTATTCCATGTTGTTGATGTGCCACAGTTTGTTTATTCATCTATGATGAACATTCCCCCCATTTTTTTTTTCAAGGTTTTATTTTTATTTATTTGTCAGAATGAGAGGGAGAGAGAGAGCGTGCGCACAAGCATGGGGAGTGGCAGGCAGAGGGAGAAGCAGGCTCCTGGCTGAGCGAGGAACCAGATGCGGGACTTGATCCCAGGCTTCTGAGCTGAAGGCAGGCCCTTAACTGACTGAGCCACTCAGGCACCCTTCCCCCCCCCAGTTTTTGGCTATTACAAGTAAAGCTGCAGTAAACTATGGTCTAAGGCTGGAGGGTGGGGTTAAAAAACAAACAAACAAACAGAACAAAACAAAACTATGGTCTACAGGTTTTTGCATGGATATAGTTTTCATTTCTTTGGAATACTTAGGATTGCAATTGTTGGATTGGATTGTATTTAGATTTTTAAGAAACTGCCAAACTGTTTTTCAGATTGGGACTGGCTGTACCATTTTGCATTCTTACTGGCAATGTATGAAATATCCAGTTTTTCTGCCTCATCACCAGCATTTGGTACTGTCACTGGTTTTTATTTCAGTTGTTTTAATAGGTATGTACTGATAACTCATTATTTTTTTTTAAGATCTTATTTATTTATTTGTCAGAGAGAGAGAGAGAGTATAAGCAGGGGGAGCGGCAGGCAGAGGGAGAAGCAGGCTCCCCGCTGAGCAAGGAACTGGATTCAGGACTCAATCCCAGGACTCTGGGATCACGACCTGAGCCAAAGGCAGATGCTTCACTGACTGAGCCACCCAGGCGTCCCTCATTATGGTTCTTAATTTGCATTTCCCTACTACTGATATTGAAATGTTTTCATAAGCTTATTTTCTCTATTCATGTCCTCTTAGATGAAATACATCTTGTGGTCTTTTCCCCATTTTCTAATTTGAATTTTTTATTAATGAATTTTGAGAATTCTTTTTATATTATCATTATTATTATTTTAGTAAGCTCTATGCCCAACATGGGGCTTGAACTCACAACCTGGAGATCAAGAGTCACATGCTCTACATATCGAGCAAATCAGGTATCCCTCTTTATATTCTTGGTGAGTCCTTTGTGAGATACATGGTTTGTAAATATTTTCTCTCCCAGTCTGTTGTTTGGTTTTCATTGTCTTAACTGGATCATTCATGGAGCAAAAGTTTTATTTATTTTTTATTTTTAAAAGTATTTTATTATTTTTATTTTATTTATTTATTCATTTATTTTTAAAAGGATTTTATTTATTTATTTGAGAGAGTGAGAATGAGAGAGAGAGAGAGCACATGAGAGGGGGGAGGGTCAGAGGGAGAAGCAGACACCCTGCCAAGCAGGGAGCCCGATGCGGGACTGGATCCCGGGACTCCAGGATCATGACCTGAGCCGAAGGCAGTCGCTTAACCAACTGAGCCACCCAGGCGCCCTATTTTATTATTTTTAAAGATTTTATTTATTTGACAGAGAGAGAACACAGGCAGGGTGAGTGGCAGGCAGAAGGAGAGGGAGAAGCAGGCTGTTGAACAAGGAGCGCTATGTGGAACTTGATCCCAGGACCCAGGGATCATGACCTGAGCCAAAGGCAGACTCTTAATGATCTGAGCCACCCAGGCATCCCTAAAGTTTCTATTTTTAAGTAATCTCTACACTGAACGTGGGGCTTGAATGTACAACCCTGACATCAAGAGTTGCGTGTTCCATTGACTGAGCCAGCCAGGTGCCCCCATGGAACTAAGTTTAAATTTTTTTTTTTTGAAAGATTTTATTTACTTATTTGACAGAGAGACACAGCAAGAGAAGGAACACAGCAGGGGGAGTGGGAGAGGGAGAAGCAGGCTTCCTGCTGAGCTGGGAACCTGATGTGGGACTCGGTCCCAGGACCCTGGGACCATGACCTGAGCCGAAGGCAGACTCTTAACAACGACTGAGCCACCCAGGTACCCCCTAAGTTTAAGTTTTGATGAGGGGCAATTTATAATTTTTTTTTCCTTTTATAGATTGCCGTTTTAGTGTTACGTTTAAGAACTCTTACTACTTTTGTAACTTCTAGCTCATTCTTTTAAATTTCACCATCATTTTTGCTCATTATTTTCTAATCTTTATATTACATATATGAATATCAATCTGTAGGCCTCATTCTGTTGTCCTTTTCTGCTGGTTGTTTTTCATAATTTTTTTAGTGTTTTGTTTTTTTTAATGGAGTCATATTTATGAGATTTAATTTTTTTGCATCTCCTGTTGAAAGTGCACTTTTTTTTTTTTTAAGATTTTATTTTTTTATTTGACAGAGAGAGACACGGCAAGAGAGGGAAAACACAGCAGGGGGAGTGGTAGAGGGAGAAATAGGCTTCCCGCAGAGCAGGGAGCCTGATGTGGGGCTTGATCTCAGGACCCTGGGATTATGACCTGAGCCGAAGTCAGACGCTTAACGACTGAGCCACACAAGCACCCCTATTTTTAAAGATTTTATTTATTTATTTGAGGGAGAGAGAGAGAGAGAGCATAAGCAGTGGGGAGAGGGAGAGGGAGAATTTCCCTTAGCAGGGAGCCGGAGATGGGGTTCCATCTTAAGACCCTGGGATCATGACTGGAGCTGAAGGCAGATGCTCAACTGACTAAGCTACCCAGGCACCCCAAGATTTATTATTTATTTTAGAGACAGAGAGAGTGCAGTCCAGCAGGCGAATGGGGTGGGGTTTGCAGAAGGAGAGAGACAATCTCAAGCCGACTCCCCACTGAATTCAGAGCCCAATGCAGGGCTCAGTCCCACCACCCATGAGATTATGTTCTGAACCAAAACCAAGAGTTGGACGCTTAGCCAATTGAGCTACCCAGGTGTCCATCGAGTCTTTTCTATAATATGAAGACAGAGAAAATAGACGATAAAGTTCACTGGGGTTGAGCAAAATGCATTAAAAATGCTTACTGGTCTGGGTTCCTGCAGTGACTTTGTTTTTGGTCTAAGTATTTTTTGGTATCTTGCCAGCTCATGTAATTTAAAAAAAAAAAGATTTTATTTATTTATTTGTCAGAGAGAGAGAGAGGGCACAAGCGGTGGGGAGGTGGCAGGCAGAGGGAGAAGAAGGCTTCTCGCTGAGTGAGGAGCCCAATGTGGGACTTGATACCAGGACCCTGGGATCGTGACCAGAGTCAAAGGCAGACACTTAACTGACTGAGCCACCCAGGTGTCCCACCAGCTCATGTAGTTTTAAGCAAAGTTTAAAAACAGATTTTTTTTTTTAAAGATTTTATTTATTTATTTGAGAGAGAGAATGAGATAGAGAGAGCACGAGAGGGAAGAGGGTCAGAGGGAGAAGCAGACTCCCTGCTGAGCAGGGAGCCCGATGCGGGACTCGATCCTGGGACTCCGGGATCATGACCTGAGCCGAAGGCAGTCGCTTAACCAACTGAGCCACCCAGGCGCCCCTAAAAACAGATTTTTATCAACTTTTTATTTTCTGTCATATTGCCAAATAGAAGCAACTCTTTCCTATCTTCTTCAAGTCTTCCTTTCTTTTGTCCATAATATTCCCTTGTTCCATTTTGTGGTTCAAGATGCATCTCAGGGCTTTCCCCAAGTCCCTGCTTGAATTAGAGGTCTGTGCCTCATTCTCTGTCACATTGTATTGCACCTCGCTGGTTTCTTGCCCTGTTTTCTTCATTCCCTCTTGTCTTTAAGTACTTTAGAGGGCCAGAACTATGTGTTGCTGTTTTTTTTTTGTTTTTAAATTTCCCTA